CAAGCTTTGAACTTGCTAGTGTAATAAAATGGTTCCATATGTATATACAAATCACATCCGCTCTTTTGGATAGTGCTCGCCGCGTAAGCATAAAGAAATCCATTCAATTGCCATTGGTAACATGAGCAAGTTCTATTCAAGAGGTCAACGCTAACTGATGGCCGGGATTGAACCTTAAAACACATGATCACTTGAACGACTAACCAACCAAGTTCTTCCACTTTTAAGAGCATTTACTAATGTTGAATCCATCTCCGGACAAAGAAAAGTATTCCATTTCTTAGCTTGTTCTCTCCTTCTCGACATCAAATCCATGATCTTCAACCTAATTGAATCAATCATCTTTGTAGTGGGCAAATGGCGAGCTTGACGGATCCATGAATTGAAAGACTCTGCCACATTTGAGTGCATTTCACCATATTTTTGTCCTTTAAAATATGCATTACTCCACTTGTCATAGGGCAAATTGGATATAAACCCACAAACGATCCCTTTTCCCTTATCTTGTAATTCTTTCAAGCACTGATTAAAACATCCCACTGTCGGAGCGTAAGCACACAAAGAAAACAAAAAAACTATTCTACTCCTGAAAGTATTGCTGAAACTTGGACCAGAGAACCTATCCCTCAAATTGGCCTTCAAGTGTTGGAGACAAAAATAGTGGTAAGCAGTAGGTAAAACCTTGGGTAAAGCCTCCAAAAGTCCAGCGTTCCGATCAGATATGAAGGTAATTGGTTTTTCATCCAACAATATATTCGACAAATGCATAAAAAACCATTCCCAACTGTCTGTAGTCTCTGTATCGACAATTGCCATTGCAAGGGGGGAAAAACCTGAAAAATAACATTTTACAATTAGTAAGTATCTTAAACGAAAAGGACAAATAAAGTAGATTTTTACTCTGAATAGCAATAACATGTTAATTTGAGAATAAGTAACTTGTTACTTTGGAATAAACTATAGTAATATGTACCTTGATCCCCATCCTTCGCTGTAGCTGTTAACAAGGTGCCCTTATATTTCCCCTTCAGAAAAGTTCCATCGATAAACAATAGAGGACGACAATGCCTAAACCCTTGAATGGAAGCATTAAATGCAACAAAAAACCTCTTGAACCGTCCACTTTGATGGTTATAGTCAAGACGCAAATAGCTACCAGGATTTGTGTTCATCACAATATCCATATACCATCGAATCTCATCATAAGACATAGAGAAATCTCCAAAAGTAGTAGTCCTAGCTTTCTCAACTCCCAACCAAACGTGATTGTACGTAATGGTGAGACCGTATTGATCTGTAAATTGACGCACAACATCAATTGGACGAGTTTGGGGATTCCCACGAACTTCATTAACAATCAAACTTGCAACCAAATTTGAACTCATCCTTGAGTTTTTAGAAGTACGAACTGCAGCTCCAGAAGTATGCTCATCATGTAGAGTCCTAATGTAGAAAAAATTATTAGCACTTTCCAGAGATGCATGTACTCGCCATAAACAAGCTTTCGACTCCCGCATTGAACACACAGCAGTGACCCGACACTTCTCATTCTTCACATACACAAACTCAAATCCTATCTCAATGGCATATTTATATAATGCAGTCCGAAAATCCTTTGCACCTCCAATAAATCTTTGACCTACATGAGTAATTCCATTCACCCATTCACAAGACAACAAAGTCCTTTCTTCATGTTGACAAAACATAGGGAGTAAATCCATTTCATCATCAGTAATGTTGGATCCAGTAGCGTCCCCTGATTCTCCAACTCCATGTTTTTATTTAAAATGCCCATTTCAGTAATAGTCACATCAACCCGGTCAACACCAAGGGGATAAACAAGCGACAACATATTCTGAAAATCAGAATCATCATCAATCATGCATTGCGAATGTCCAGGCAAACAGTGCGATAACAGTATGCAACTACTATTATCAAACTTCTTCAATTTACAACTTAAGAAATCAGTTAAATCCTTCAACGTGCAGTTTGACACAACCTTGAACACAATGGTACGATCACCATACTTGCATAACAACATAAGAGGTGGAACCATTTTACAAATCTGCAATCAATTAACAGTAAAATTTTACTCTGCATAAAAGTAAAATTTTACTCTGATATAGGAGTAAAATGTTACAAAAGGAATCTAAAAGTAAAATTTTATTCTGCAAAAAACGTAAAATTTTACTCTGCATAAGAGTAAAATTTTACTCTGAATCTAAGACTAAAATGTTGCGGCCTGAATTTGAAAGTAAAATTTTACTCTCTATAAAAGTAAAATTTTACTCTGTATAAAAGTAAAATTTTACCCTCATTGTAAACAGAGCAATCGAACCAGAGTAAAATTTTACTCTGATATAGGAGTAAAATGTTACAAAAGGAATCTAAAAGTAAAATTTTATTCTGCAAAAAAGTCAAATTTTACTTTGCATAAGAGTAAAATTTTACTCTGAATTTAAGAGTAAAAATGTTGCGGCCTGAATTTGAAAGTAAAATTTTACTCTCTATAAAAGTAAAATTTTACTCTCATTGTAAACAGAGCAATCAAGCAGAGTAAAATTTTACTCTGATATAGGAGTAAAATGTTACAAAAGGAATCTAAAAGTACATAAAGGTAAAATTTTACTCTGCATAAGAGTAAAATTTTACTCTGCATAAGAGTAAAATTTTACTCTGAATTTAAGAGCAAAAATGTTACGGCCTGAATTTGAAAGTAAAATTTTACTCTGCATAAAAGTAAAATTTTACTCTCATTGTAAACAGAGGATTCGGACCAGAGTAAAATTTTACTCTGATTCCCTGAAACAAAAGGCACAACAATAGAACCAGAGTAAAATTTTACTCTGATTCTGTCAAACGAAATCAGATCAAACACAACAAAAATAAATCAAACAAACAAAAATAAAAAAAAATTCATTACAAATCAACATACCTAATTGAGAAAAAAAACCTCTACAACTCGATCAACAATCACAAATCTCAATGAAACTTTCGTTTAATTGAGAGTGTTGATCATCGGCCACCAAGTAAGAGATGTTCGGCTGCGAGATCGTCTATTGTTGAACAAGTAAGAGATGTTCGGCTGCGAGATCTTCAGATCTGAAAATCGTCTTCATCGATTTTGTGAAGTATGATCGATTTGGAGCTCAGATTTCAAATTTTTACGTATGATACTATATAAGGGCAATATTGTGATAAAAAAAATTAGAAATTATAAAATGTCCTTATTAAGTTAAGCATTTCTTACTCAGGGACTTTTTGAAAAAAAATTAATTGGGTTATCCTTTACCCTAATAAAAAGGCCCAAAAGGGGGGTTCCACCAAAAATCCCTACTTTTTAAGTGTATTTATGTTAGGTATATCTAAAAATTAAAAGAAATCGCTTAGAATATTAAAAAAAATTAGTGAAAACAAAAAATTTCAACTTTTTGAAAAATTAATCCCGAAAATAGAAACCAAATAATGGTTTTTTTGTATGAAAATGTGTAGTTTCATATGGAATAGGATTCACATGGTATGGGTCCTACACATGAGACCTACCTCATGTCAAATATATGTGTCTCATTCTATATTTGATGGTTTGTATTCCTAGACTTATTAATAAATAAGCTTCTCTAAGAAACAAGGAAAAAATTAAAAATAAAAAAATTCTACATTTTTAAATTCATTTTTTTTTAAAAAAAAAATTATAAATATTTTCAAGACACATCTTACGCTCGTAACTGGTTAACCAGACCAATTTTAAATTTGGTTTGTCAATGATCCCATTCATTGATGCTTATTTTCAGTGAAGGAATGGAGAGACTTATTAATTGGATGTAATTCGAACGGGATCACAGTGGTTTGAGAGATTGTTCAGGCTTAATTTAAATTGTATCAAGAGTTATTCAGATTTGTTCAAATCCAAATTTGTAACTCAAGGTGGTTTGTCCAATCCTAATCCGAATTGTACATGAACTTGAGTAGGTTTTTTTTTTTTTTTTTTTTTTTTTCGCAACAAAATTAATTTATTTTTTAAAATAAAAAATTAGTGTCTAAAACTTTGATATGTTGTAGTGGTTATTAAAAAATACTTTATCAATGTTAAGCGTTTTGTAGTAAAGATTAGGGAACGAGGCATTTTTTGTAATTTATGAAAGAGAAAAAAAAAAAAGGGTAAGGATTTGTATTGTGTTATTTATATATATAATATATATTGAATATGTTTTAACAATCTAAATTAATTTAACATCATCCAATAACTAATCATTTATATGCATATTTTTTTTATATTTCTATATATAATTTGGGTTTGGAGTTGCTTTGGTTATTTGGTGTTTTTATCCAAATTTGCCCAAATTTAATTAAGATTTTTGAATTTTTACCCAAACTTGCGCCAAATTCAAAAATATTTTACTCAAACTCTAAAAAAATCTAACTGGGCTCGGATTGAGTTTGTCCAAGTTGCACCCCCTACTTACTAATTGCAATTTACTATGAAAATATTTATATAAAAAAAAACCACCTAGATTTTTCTGGATGAGTGATTATGTGGTGGAGATTAAATTTGTGTAGTGTAAAGTCCATATGTAGAATAAATCTAAACTACAAGATGATCATTCTGAATAATTTCTAGGTAGTTAAATTTGGATTCGTCGTATTGCTGACTATAAAAACCTAAAGGTCTCGTTTGTTTAGCTTCGTAAATGGAGGGGATTGGAAGTACAGTACGATTAAGTGATGAGATTTTTAGTGTGGTGGTATTAAATTGGAAAAGTAAGATAAATAATGTTTGTTTTTATACCACTAGATTTTAATACTATAGATAATATTAATATATAAATTTAATATTTTTTATTTTTGAGTATTTTTTTAATATTACAATAATTATTATTTTTATACTTTTTAAGTCCACTTAATCTAGACACTTAAAAAAATATAAATTTTGCATAAAAATTATTTAAAAATTCACTAAATATAAAATAAATAAAAAAATCATATTTTTATAGTATTTATTAAAAAATTTAAATATTTCTTTCACAAATAAATTATTTGAAAAAAATAATATTAAAAATATTTTAATCTATTTTAATTAATATTTTAATCCATTAATCGTATCACTAGATTTCTAATCCCATGTGTTTTTCTTCCTTGCTAGTCCATTTGGAATGTTAATCCCATCACAACCTTCCACAATTAAACACTGTCTATATGACCCTCCCTCACTATTAGTCCAATTCTCTCATTCATGGAACCAAACAAACATGACCAAAAGACTCTCATACATTCCTTGGTCCAAACGAGTTACCAGTTGCGTTCAAAAGTCAATTATTAGTCGTTAGATTACTTCTTAAGGGAGAGCTTAACCTCTCGTAAGCCACATCCCGTAGACAATGCTCATCATGTATTGTCACTGTACAAACTATTTTGAAAGTTTGTTTGGGAAGTGACTTTTTTGATATTTTTTGAGTTAAATATGATGCAAAAGAGTTGATTAATTGATATTATAGGACTTTTTAACTATTTTAATGACTTCTTAACATTTTAACTAAAATATTGACATGCCAGATGAACCCGGAATGCAAGCATCATTTTCATTAACCTCTTCTCCAATTTTAACATGCCCATTGTCTGATGTAACGCCCTCAAAATAATAACAGTAAACCCATCAACAGAGACATGCATTGATATATAAAAGCTGCACATTCTACTATTCATCAGAGTTCCATTACCAAAAAGTATTACATGTTAACGACAAAGCAAATGCCCTAAAGGCTTACAGCTTTCCAAGTTAACACTTGGTTACAACAAAAGAGTGCTAACTCATTTACACATTAAGCCCTTGGCTTGAATATACATGTAATACATCAAAGAAACTAAACAACAAAAGTCTGCCCGCCTCTAGCCTCCCAAGTTACGTCCTTGGAGGTGGCATGCTACCTGTACCTGAAAATGATATTCCCATATAGGGTGAGCCACAGCCCAGTAGAAATACACTAAACCAAATATGAACAATGACTAAAAGATTAGCAGTTGATAGATGGCCAACACTGATACTTTCCCTTATCACACTTTACGGTTTCATGACATACAAGTCCATGTTACAATCCATTTCCCAATTCTTTTCGATTCTCAATTTATAACCATGGCTTAGAACCTGGCCAAACGACTTATATGAGACAATAACTCATATTAAGCCCTTTCTTATTTCATAATAGATAACCATACTAGCTATATCACACACCAACAGATAAGCATACAAGCTATATCATCACTTCCATAGATATGCATAAGAGCACTATCACACTTCCAAAGACAAGCATATGAGCTATGTCAACACATTACTAGATAAGCATATGAGCTCTATCTATGGAGTCCATCCCATATCTCCTCCCAACAACATCCGATTTAGAGGTCCTTCCCCTTTCTTCCCCTAAACGTGGAGTACATCCCCTATCTCCTCCAACACGACACAATGCATATAAACAATAATATACACATCATCACACAATACATAAATTTAATGTATTCTTTCAACCGTCATACTCAATGACACATTTCAGTGATTAGTTTCAGTTTGCCTAATCATCATGCATTGTCTACAACAATCAAGACTATCCTCCACCGATAGCCCAAAGCAATTATTTCTATACAGAAAATAAATGCAACAATGGATATATAATCAACATTTTAACTAGGTGAGCGATAAATAATCCAACTACACCCTTTAATCCCATACCTTTCCAAATCAATTCCTCATTTCTCATAATTAATTATGCAAATTAATTAACCAATGTAATTAGGGCATTTTTCATAATTAACATTACAACCCTTAGGTTCCATTTTCATTAATGTTTCAACATAAATTTCACTTTTCCATGCCAAACATGCATTTAGGTTTTATATAAATAAAAACCCCAACTTTTGTAAAATTACATAAAGGCCCAAACTCTCTCAAAATTACCCAACAACCCCCAACATATTGAAATGCAAAAATTTAAAGACAAAGCTCATAAAGAGGAGTAGGATATCCCTACCTCGAAGTTAGAGCTCGGATGGAGAAGAGACCAAAACCAAAGTGCT